AGCTAAACTTAAAAAGAACATTAGTTTATACAGTAGAACTATTAGTACAAAATGCTGGAGCCAGACACCAGCAGAATGTCTTTCAGCATTCTTACTTAACAAAATTCAGTATTCATCATGGGCATGTCTTCTGAGAACTTCAGTGAGTCAACTTTGAATTTTTTTTTTTTTTACTCCTCTCCTTTGAATGTAATAGATTTAACAATTATTAGAATCAATGGATTTTGTTAAGCTCAGATGGTTAACTTAGAGAAAAGCAGTTACATGTATTTATAATAATTACTTTTTATAAAACTGCAGTTATATAGAGATTACAAATAGTTTTCAAAAACATTTTAATACAACTGATTAGAATTGGTCATCCACAAACAAATGAATAAAATTTTATCAGAATTATTCTATTTCACTGTAGCCCATCAAGCTCAACTGGCATAAACATATTACACGAAACATTGTTCCACCTCCCACTTTGGCGAGTAGCAGAGTAGCGACTGGGATCTTAAAAGCTTGTAAGTAGCCATCTAGCTGCAACAATGGGTCTCTCCTTGGCCAGAGCAAAGAAGAATGAAGAAAACCAAAGATTCATGGAAACAATTAGTCCTAGTGACTGGTACACCATGCAATCCGCAGCCCATACAACTATGAGACCAAAAGAACTAGATGGTGGCTGGCTACCACCACAACCACTCGGAAGGAAGTCTATGTATGAGATCCTGGATAAAGAGGGAGAACAATGTGGAAAAAAATGCAAAATCCTTTGGGGAAAACAAAAAGGGGGGATCAGGTTTGCTGGTCTGATGGTCTGATAGAGCCTGGTGGAACCACTGAGACTATGGCCCTTAGCTGCCCTTCAGGTCTGGAATTGAACCCATACCTGTGGCTTCTAGCCAAACAAAAGACAGGCATATGAGATGAACATTTACCTGAGGTAGATACACTCCTTGGAGAGCTCAATTATGGGAGAAAGAAGGGCTGTGCATTCACAGGGAGACAGCTCAGGGGGCAAGAGTGCATGGAAGGATGGACACAGGGAAGAGGTAACTATCAGAAGGAAGCGGGAGAGGAGCTGTTGCATTGTGGTAAATTGTAGTCAGTATCGTGAGACAAAGTATATGTGAACTGTTGTATGGAAAGTGAATTTGCTCTGTAAATTTTCACCAAAATTACAATTTAAAAAATATATTCTTTTTTATATCAACTGGGTTTAAAACTAACAGATAAGTAAAGGCAAAATGCAAGAAATTAGAGATTATGACTTATTACCACGTAGGCTACAAGTGAAGAATTAGTTACAATAAAGAACTGTGTTTTTTAAAATTACAGGACAATGTAGTTATGATACAAATAACTACTCTAAGGGAATATTCTGATTCCCTTCCTGGGATGTGTAGGAACAGTTCAAACATGAACATGCTCTCATTAAAATGTAAGCCAGGCAGCCAATGTTTCCTCACTCACTCATCAAAGTGGTCTCCCATTCACAAATGACTAGGAATAACCTCTGTACTTGTCAGCTATATGAATCAAAGAAAAATGGAGACACTATATAATTAAGATAGATATTAACTCCAAGTGTCCATCAACAAAGAAGGCATAATGGCACAGTAGTTAATCATTCAGCTTCTAACCAAATGGTCAGTAGTTCAAACCCACCAACAGCACCGTGGAGAAAGATGAAGCAGTTTGCTTCCATAAAGATGACAGCCTTGGAAACCCTACAGGGCAGTTCTACTCTATCCTATAGAAACACTATGAGTTAGAAATAATTCAATGACAACAGGTTTGCTTCTGGTTTTGTCCATCGATAGATGGATTAAAAAATGTGATATATCCATACAATGGGATATTTATCAGTCGTAAGTTCTAATACGTGCTATGACATGGATGAACTTTGAAAACATTATGCTGAGTGACACAAGTCAAACACAAAAGCAAAAAAGACTGTATAATGCCACTTACATGATGTATCAAGAATGGGCAAATTTATAGAGATAAAAGCTTATTAGTGGTTACCAGTGGCTGGGAGAGGGGGAATGAGGACTTACTGTTTAAGGGATACTGAGTTTCTATTGCAGATGATGACAAACTTTAGGAAATGGATAGCTATGGGTGATGGCTGTACAACACAGTGAATACACTTAATGTCACTGAATTCCACGCTTAAAATAGTTAAAATAGCAAGCCTTTGTTATTTATATTTTATCACAATAGAAAATTTGTTAATAGATTGAAATTAACATTTGTGATTAAGCCCAGTTTAGTTTGAGACTCAGGCCAAACAGCCCTCCCAAGTCTAAGTAGTTATGAAGTGTAGAGAAAAGCAGAGCGTAAACCAATGACTCAAACAATATGCTTTCATTTCCTCTTCTAGAAAACCAGGAATAATAAGAATACTTACCTCATTGTGACGAGGAATAAATGAAAAGACACGGGTAAAGTTCAAAAAGCCTGTTTTTGTTATGTGCCGTTGAGTTGGACCAGACTCACAGCCACCCCTCCCTGGGTTTCCAAGGTGGTATCACTACTGAAGTAGATTGCCCAACCTTCCTTCCAAGGAGTGGCTGGTGGGTTTGAACCACCAGCCTTCTGGTTAGCAGTCAAGTGCTCTAGGCACTATGCTACCAGAACGATTTCTCCCCCCCTGACTCCAAGGCACTGAAAAAACAGTGCTAATAAAGCTATCCTCATACTGTATTACGGTAAGTTCCACAAGTATCTGTGTCTCTACCGCTTAGACAACTTAAGTTCCCTGAGATGTTTGTATCCAGTATCTACCACTACCCATGATACAGAAGGCACACAAAATGTCTGATGAATTGAATTCTAGAATTTTAGGTCTGGGAAGGGCCAAAGCAGCCAATCATTTGTGGTCAGATGCAAAAGTGAGACTGAGAAGACTGAATGACTTGCCCAAGTCACAGAAGCAGTGGCTGTGGCAAGACTGATTCCCGGGTTTCTTTTCCAATAAAATCCATGAAGATAGCACTGTGTCTGGCTTACAACGCCAAAGTGATTCATCAAGCACAGAACCGGGTGCACAGAAGAACCTCAGTCAAGTGCTGTCCATTACAAAACACTTATACATCAATCCATAACGTTGAAAGAGACAAATCCTAGTTAAAATTTTACAGCAGTCTGTTATCAACTCTCAATTGTAAAAATTCTGAAAAATAAGCAAAATCGTCACGCATGGCAATATATGAAAGTGTGTTGTTGCTGTTATGTGCTGTCAAGCTCGCGCGGACTCAGAGAGACCCCTCCTTGGGTTTCTGAGGCACTATCACTACGGAAGTAGATTGCCCAACCGTCCTTCCGAGGAGTGGCTGGTGGGTTTCAACCACCAGCATTCTGGTTAGCAGTCAAGTGCCTTAGGCACTACGCTACCAGAGCTCCTATATGAAAGTAGTGTATATTAAAATTTTATTTCTGCTTTTGGGCATTAATGCATTTAAAGTGAAGCCTGTTTCCAGGCTTCCAGAAGCCTTTCCACATAAAATGAATGAGATCGTTAAAACTGACAGTACATCAACATCTAAATACATTATTAATACAGACTATGTCAAACGCTAATAAAACGCAAGTGTCAACCTGACTTTGTGGGAACCAAACACAAGGGTTCACATTTTAAGGAAGTTCAAGTTTACTGGCCAACCAACAGCCCCACCATGATTTGCTGCCATCACGGAGAGGAGCAAAGGAGAACGATTTACTTCCAGCAGGTAAAATATCTGGGCTTCATCAAGGTGAAGACAAGAGAGCCAGAATGCCCAATGGACAAATGTTAAAAGAAACAGTCTCTCTTCCGACCGTCAGCATTAATGGAAAATAGCACGAGTCATTCCAGGAATTTCACGTAAGCGGGTCCCTAGAATTCGCTGACAAACACTGACAGCCGATGGGGGCTACGAAGCCAAGACAAGGTAGGGCCCTATTGCAGCTACTTCAGTGGGTATTTGTGCACAGGCAAAGGGCGTAGGGCGGGTCTAGCACAACCAAGCACAAAGGTGGGAATGCAAGCGAGGGAGCAACCTTAGGGCGGGTCCACCGCCACCTATAGCTCTCCGAACGCTTCCGATCCGGACTAACGCCCAGACCTCCGACGCGGTCTCCCAGTACGTAGGGGCGGTGGCCGATTTCTGTCAAAGGCGGCCGCAGGCCTTCATGGGACCCTAGAACCTGTAGGCTAAGACACCCACTCAGAGAGGTCGCCCCATCTTAGAGCAACGGCCGCGGCCAGGAGCCGCCGCCCACCCCGTCCCGAGCCTGAGGCCTTCGCCGGCCTGTCCCCTACTCCGCAGGCCACGCCGGGATGGCTTTTGCTTCAATCGTGCTGCAAGGCCCAAACTCCGCCCGCAGAGGTCCGGGGTGATGGGAGATAGCAAGGGCTGGGAGAAGAGTCGGCCCCGGGCCCGATGCCCTCCCAGCACTCACCATGGCGAAACCCCCGAGCCTGCAGCAAGCAGCACCCACCCGCGCGGAGCCTCCCGCGGTCAGGTGACGCTGCGGCCCCTCCAAGCCCCGCCCTCTCTGGCCCCGCCTACGAACCCAGCAAACGGCTCCTCCATTGGTCCGCTTTTAGGACCCCCCCAAGTCTCGCGTTTTTATTGGTGCTTGCACTGACGGACCAGGGCGTCAGCCAGTCTTTCTTCAGTGTGTGAGAAGGAGGCCGAGCCGTGGAGAAACCTGAGAGCAGCGGGGAAGCCCTCGGTTGCCAAGAAAAAAAAGAGACAGCAGGAGGGAAAGGCAGCGTTTGATGAGGCTTGTCAAGGAAGGACTGGAAAGAGGGGGAGCCGTCCACGTTTACTCTCTGCTTTGGGGAGGACCCTGATGATGCGCATGCGCAGAAACAAACCTAGGATTGGTTTGTGGGACGGTCTCGACTTTTTGTCCTAACTAATCCAAATGAGCCTGGGGCGGGGCCTGGCTCTCAGTGGCCCGCAGGGGTTCTGAGCGCGGCTTTTGTTGCGCTGGAGCTGCACCTGCCAGTTGTTCTCGTCGGCGCCATGGAGTCAGGGCTTATCAGGCGTTTCGCCATGCGCTTGGGCATCGCCGAGCCAGATGTGCTGAGGTGAGTCTGACTGCGCCCTCCCTAAACAGCACCCCTACCTGATCGGCCGGCCCTGAGCTATCAGGCGAGGCTCGCGTCCTTCCAGCGCGACTGGCTGCACGGGACTGGGAATGGGACGCTGGGGGGGATTTAGGGCCTAGTTCAAGAAGAACTTCCCGGCTGTGGATTTACATGAGCTCTGGTGGCGCAGTGCCTAAGACGTTTGACTGCTAACCAGAAGGCGATTCAAACCCACCAGCCACTCCACGGAAGGAAGACCGGGCAGGCTACTTCCGTAAAGATTTACCGCCTTGGAAACCCAAAGGGAGTGGCTGTGAGTCGGAATCCACTCGATGGCAGTGAGTTTGGTTTTGGTTTTCAAAAAGAACTTCCCGGCTGTGGACTTATAGGAGATGGCAAGAAAGTGGCGATTTTAGGTGTCTCTGGGAACATTTAGTTCTGCAGAATGCCTAGTGGTGGGAAAAAGAAAAGAGTAGGGGAGAACTTCTGGCCACCCCGCAAATACTGAGGGTCTCTTTACAGCGGTGAGCTAGAAGGATGCGGTGCCGACCCTGGAGGTCACTGTCTATGGTGGTAAGGTCTGTGTAGAAAATTAAACAAGGTGATGTGCCAGAACGGCTGGGCAGGGCGCGGCCTGGTAGCCGCTTTAGATGGAAATACCGAGGAAGGGCCTTGGAGGAGGAGCCATTTGTGCTGAGCCCCGATTGGGTAGGAGGTGTCAGCTTGGGCTGTGCGACCCACGCAGAGACAACAGCCCGTGCTGTTGTTGTTGTTGTTGTTATGTGCCGTCGAGTCGGCCCCGACTCATAGCGACCCCTCCTTGGGTTTCCGAGGCAGTATCACTACGGAAGTAGGATTGCCCAACCTTCCTTCCGAGGAGTGGCTGCTGGGTTTGAACCGCCAGCCTTCTGGTTAGCAGTCAAGTGCTTTAGCCACTATGCTACCAGAGCTGGGAAGGACCTTTACAGGCTCCAGGGGCACAAATAAAGCCCCTGTGGATAAAGCGTGGACTGAGGTGGGGGTCGCCGTAGCCAGGTGAAGAAGGGTTAAGGAAATAAAAGATTTGTAGCTAAGACCTCCTGGACTCCAGTTAGAACAGTGGTTCCCAAAGTGTGGTTCCTGGACCAGCAACCTCAGTCTCATCTTCACACTTGCTAGAAATAAAATTCTTGAGTTCACCCTAGACCTGCTGATCAGAAACTGGGGATGGGACCCAGCAATTCATTTTCAGGAACACTCCACACACATCCCAAAGCAATTCTCAGGCACACTGAAGTTTGAGAACCACTGATTTAGAGGAACAGAGAAAAGGAGTAGTCCTAGTTTAACCTGCCTGCCTCTCTGTTCATGCTTGTTCCAGTATTGGAAGGTAAAAAGAAGGGTTGTTTTTTAGAAGAATTGAAGGGCTTGCTTTTACCTGAAAGCACTCAATCACAGTGGTGTCAGGAATCAGATGGCAGTATCGTTTTATATAGAGCCCCCCCAAAGGTTGTAAGCTTCATTCCTAGCCCCAAATAAACGTGTGTAGTATGAAGTCCACAGGGCTGTAATAATTGTTTACTAAAGTGTTGGACAAACTCCTGAACTACAGTTTTAATGAATGTGTTGCCCTTATAACCAGGAAAGCAGAGGAATACTTGCGACTGTCCAAAGTGAAGTGTTTTGGCCTGTCTGCACATAGCACAGAAACCAGCAGTGCAGTCATGTGCCTGGATCTTGCAGCTTCCTGTATGAAGTGCCCCTTGGACAGGGTACGTAGGTCTTATTTGGTATCTCAATATCCAGTGCAACACTGAAGCTTAATCATATGTTTTCATTTCTGGTTGGAATCGACCCCCCTCATAACACACACACAGTCTCTCTTGTCTCACTTTACTAAATAGTCTCTCTAGCAAATAATCATACACGTTCAATGGTGGCATTAAAAACAAATGGCACATATTTTGTTACCTATGTTGTAGTGCCTAAGGCATTTGACTGCTAAACAGAAGGCTGGTTCAAACCCACCAGCCACTCCGTGGAAGGAAGACTGGGCAGCCTACTTCAGTAAAGATTTATCTCCTTGGAGAGGACAGCACTGAATGCGAACCCTCGTGGCTATTATATATCTGTATGACTCACCTGAGTAAGACCTCTTTATTTTTTCATATATGTTGTATATTTTGCAGTCATACTGATGTTAGGTCCATTGACAGCTTTTGCTGGCAGAGAATAAACATGTCATTAAGTGAAAACCAAAATTGGGTGGACTCCCTGGTACCATCAAACAGTCTGTCCTTACTTAACATTCCAGCCTTTCTCAAATCCTAAACTCAAGGTACACTGTTTACTTAACCTACCATGCACTTTAATGACTTTGTTGTTGTTATGTGCCATCGAGTCGGACCCAACTCATAGCGACCTTTCCTTGGGTTTCCAAGGTGGTATCACTACGGAAGTAGATTGCCCAACCTTCCTTCTGAGGAGTGGCTGGTGGGTTTGAACCGCCAGCCTTCTGGTTAGCAGTCAAGTGCCTTAGGCACTATCTACCAGAGCTCCCTAAAAAGAGATGGCCCTGTCTACCGTGGTGGGGAGCGGCTGGTGGGTTTGAACTGCCAGCCTTGCACTTGGCAGGCAACTGCCTTGGAATGCCTTCTGGAAAACTTATCATACATGACCCTACCTTGCTGCTACATCCTTCATAAAGCTTTCCTGGATTATCCCAGGCTGAATTGGCTTCCTTCAGTTGTTGATCCTCCTGTTTCCCTCTTGTCTCTTTTCCCCTCCTTTGCACACGCCCTCCTCATCCCACTCCCACTACTTTCCCCCCTTCCTTTGCCAGTGAATTCCATTGACACCTTTGTTGAAAAACAAGTGACCATATTTGTGTCTTTCATAGTTTAGCTATAGTAACACTATGTTGTATATTAAATTACTTGTTAATGACTGCTTTTCTATATTTTGTTCTTAAAAGTAATATTTTGCCTGACATAATTACTGATTTTTGACTAAATGAAACTAAACCTTAAGGTACTGTGATTTGTCACAGAATTAATGGTTTTGAAAAGTTGATACCACTTACTAAATAAATGTTTAAGAATACTTACATAGAGAACTTAAGGTTTTTGTGATTTGTGTGTGTTTTTCCTTTCAAAGGCTTATTTAATTCAACTTTCTGGTTTGAACAAGAAGATGTATCAGAGCTGCCTTAAATCTTTTGAGTGTTTACTGGGCCTGAAATCAAATATTGGAATGAGAGACCTCGCTGTACAGTTTAGCTGTACTGAAGCAGTGAACATGGCTTCAAAGATACTGCAAAGGTATGGGCATAAAGACCTTAATTGAAAATTTTACTGATGTATAAAGCAAAATGAGCCAGTGCCCTATTCTGGCAAATTTTCAATATTAAGAAAATAACTAATAGGTTAAAGTAACAGACACATAGCTCACATAATAAAAAAGCTTGTAAATTCTGATTTGCATTTCTCAATCCCGCTTGAAATAATTCTTCTAACAAATAATTCTCTAACACTGCTTTCTCTTAGCTATGAGTCCAGTCTTCCACAGACACAGCAAGTAGATCTTGACTTATCCAGGCCCCTTTTCACCAGTGCTGCGCTACTTTCAGCATGCAAGTAAGTATGCCTTTAATATTCAGAAAACTTTTTAATTTACAAAGGGTATTTCAATTTCAAAGAATACATAATTGAAGTTGATTACAATCAGAACATAATTTGCCTATAAATAATGTTAGGAATTGTGGCCAAGTGATGAGATTCCCAATTTATCTCACAATGTAGCTGACCACTTAGAACTTGGAAGTCCACTTGCCAAGTGGCAAATATTCATATGTAAGCTGGGTTTTCTGGCTCCAGGGTCTGCCTTTTATAAGTGGTGAAATCTGTTCATTAACACACTGGTCATTTATGATTTTCTAGTAATACTTCAAAAAAGAAAGTACCTACTGCAACTGTTCATCAAGTCACTTGTAAGACATTTCCATTATAAATTCTTAGATCTGAGTCTTCAAATGATGGGTTATCTATGTATATACTGAAATGATACACTGGGATTATTAATAATGATTGATATCTTTCTGCATAGCTTTCTTATTTTTGTCTTGCTGGAAAACTTACAAAACAAAATGTAATTGGCTCTTAAAGAATGAGTTTCTTTCTCACTACTCAGCCACTAATTGTGGTGTAGTTGGCTGTATTGGCCACATACTTAGTGTGATTAATTGGCATTCATGGAAAATGTTTCTTTGATGGTATGTGTGTATGGGGAGGGAATACAGCTGTTATTACAGAAAACAATGAGGACTGTTAGCAAATAACCCCACTTTGAAACCACATTCTACTGATCAAAGAAAGGTGTGAACAGATCTATGTTCCTGAGTGAGAAGTTTGCTTTGCATTTTTTATTAGCGCTTGTTCACAGGCGTTTTATTAAAACGCAAAACTCAATGCCATTGACTTGATTCCGACTCATAGTGATCCTCTTTGGGTTTCTAAGAACGTAAATCTTTATGGAAGTAGATTGCCCAGTCTCCCTTCCGTGGAGTGGCTGGTGGGTTTGTACCATCAACCTCCTGTTCAGCAGTTAGATGCCTTAGGCACTATGCCACCAGAGCTTTTATTAGGTTGGGGGTTTTTGGGGTCTGGATGTGGTGTAGTAAATTACCTGGTATGGCTTTTCTAGCCATAAGTCTATAAACTCCGTGGTGGAATTTGCCATGAGCAACTGAGTAGCTCCTGATTGTTAGTTATCCAGCTGGGGTGTTTCTGTTGAACCAGCAGGAAGCAATCTTCTGGGAAGTTTGCGCTCTCTCTCTCAGGTGTATAGAATTTTGATGCTGGGATTGGTTAGTTTGGTCACTCTGCCAGGCTCAAAAGGAGTCTTCCTAGAAGCAGAAGGAATCTCTCACTGCCAGCTGGGAGACGCAAGAGACACGTGCTGCTGAGAAAGAGACTGAGAGAGACTGTCAGCTGCGAGATAGCGGGCTAAGAGAGACTGAGTGCATTTCTGAATTAGAATTGTAGCTTGGTGCTTCCCTAATAGACCCCATAATCTGTGAGTTCTGTGTGGCCACTGCAGCGAATTATCAAACCCAGCAGAGAGGTGGTGGGTACTACAGGAGGAACGGTTGGTGTCAGGGTTGGTGAAAGGGCTGGAGGGAGGTGGCATGTCTGGCATCACAGTGATAGCCCTTGGGCTACTGATGGTGATTCTGTCTTCCTCTTGTGGGGTTAGAGGAGGTCAGAAAATGTGGCCTCCCTGTTCCTTTGGCAGTGGTGGAGCAGGGTATAACCATGTAGTAAAAACACAAGCATCATGGGACACTTAAAATGCTGTCCTTCATTCAGCCAATGACTGAGAGCTGGAACTTGACAAGACTGCCTTGTTTTTCCAGGTCTTGTGAGTTTTTTGCCTTTACCACTTTTCTTTTGTTCTCTCTTAGAAAATATTTGAGTTTTCCTTCTCTGACAAGTTTCTGCCTTACACAGTTTCCAGCACTTGCAGTTTTACTGTAATAACATCTGAGATTTACTAAGAAAGAGTTTTTAAAGATCTATACCAATTTTTTTATGTGCCGTTTTTGTTACAGAAAGACTCCATGTATATTTTAACTCTCTCATTCCAACAAACAAATACCTTTAAAGGAAAATGTACATGGTTATAACTAACATATGCTTGAAACAGGAAAATTAGACACTTGAAGCTCTTCATACAGCATAGGTAAAAAGAAAATAAGCTTAAGAAAAGTAATTTATTGAATTCTTTTGTAGGGTTCTAAAGCTAAATGTGGATAAAAATAAAATGATAGCCACATCTGGCGTAAAAAAAGCCATATTTGATCGACTGTGTAAACAATTAGAGAAGATTGTACAGCAGATTGACAGTGAGTATTTCATAGTTCAAGATTGTGTCATTCGAAAACAGTCCTGCTGATAAAAGTTAAATATTTTTAAACTTGCAAAATGGCCACTTTCTGAATTCTTCATTTAATATACACCTGATAAATTTTTAGTGAGAAAATTGTTCCTACTTTTCAGATAAAGTAGTTTAATAGCTTTAAAAAAAAACTTAGGAATCCATGCCTGGAAAGTCAATTTTCCATCAATATATTCTGATTTTAAACGCCAGCCTCCATATATAGAAGCTATAATAAAAGTGATTCTCAAGTCTGCAAAGAAAGTCAAAGAAGGAAAATGACAAGATCATTTGCCTTCTCCCTATCTTGATATATCAGTACTTGGTCAGTCAAAGTATCTAATTTTTGTGTGTGTGTGTGATCCAAACATGCCCAAATACTAAATTGAGAATAGGAGACAAATTAACCTTGATGACACTTTCTTCCCTCCTTCTTAAAGGAGAACCTAGAGATTTAGTGATGCCACCAAGGAAAAAAAAGAAGACAGCAGTTGAACCCAGAGCGAAAGGTAAGGCCTACTAACATCCTACTGATAGGGAATGAATACAGTAAACAGTCTTCCGCTACTCTAGCAGCCTGCCTGGCAAGTATCAGTTTTTAAATAAATCCTGACTGTTAGTCATTTGACAAGACTAGTTCTTTAAGCAATCATTAACAGAAGTAACAAAAGTATCATGTAAATAAGAATACATTTTAAAGCCAGACTGCCTAGGTTCAAATCATGCTTTACTTACCTCTATATGATTTTAAGAAAATCACTTAAATCTATTATCTTTCTGTGGGCTTCAGTTTTCTAATCTGTGAGATGTGATTAGGATTATTTAAAAAAAAAAAAAAAAAAAACCACCAAACCCACTGCTATTGTGTGGATTCTGACTCATAGCGACCCTGTAGGGCAGAATAGAACTGTTCCATACAATTTCCAAAGCTGTAAATCTTTATGGAAGCAGACTGCCTCATCATTCTGTGGAGTGGCTGGTGAGTTCAAACCATGGACCTTTTGGTGAGCAGCCTAACACCTTAACCACTGCACCATCAGAGCTCCTCCATAGGATTATGGTGAGGGTTAAATGAGATAATACTATTTAAAGCTCTTGGTTCATTGCCTTGCAAGCACAGAATAAGTGCTTGATAGATGTTAGCTATTAAAACATTTAGGAGCTCTGGTAGGGTAGTGCCTAAGGCACCTGACTGCTAACCAGCCACTCCTCGGAAGGAAGATGGGGCAATCTACTTCTGTAGTGATACTGCCTCGGAAACCCAAGGAGGGGTCGCTGTGAGTTGGGTCTGACTTGACGGCACATAACAACAACAATATTAAAACATTTTGGAGTATTTGAGGTATAACAGAGAGAAAAATATTATGTGGTAGTTGTTATTTCACATTTCGTTATTTCAGTGTTTTACTCTCTATCACCATCATTAGACATTTTAGACAAGTTTACTTTTTTATTACATTTGTAAGCATAAAAATTGTTAAATCACTTTAGAAAATGTTCTCTTACAGAAAAAGAGAAGGTAGTAGAGATTCCACATAAACAACAGAAAGATGAAGATCTGGCACAGGATTATGAAGAGTGGAAAAGGAAAATTTTGGAAAATGCTGCCCAAGCACAAAAGGCTACAACAGAGTGATGTCAGCATCCAGACTGGCACATCCTACAAACCAGCCGTCCGTCTGCCACCTCCAGGCAGATTGGAGGGCTTGAAATTGTGTTTGAACTTTTAGTCCTTTTATAACAAGGCTGCAGAGACTTAATAGCAAAGAAGCCAGCACTGGGGCTGTTCAGGGCACCATACTGGCCCCTGACATCAACCACAGTACTAGATTTGCCTTACCGCAGGCCTGTGTTCTCCTACAAAATGAAATTGGATTTGGTTTATTTTGAGTAAAAGACAGTTTTCTCTCCTTTCCAGAGTATGAAATTCAAGCTGTCTTAGAGATTTTACTTAAGTTTTTTAAGAGTTTCTTGGTTTGACCAAATCAGTATCTGGTTACAGCCTAAGTTAACTGATGTTATTTTTATATGCATTTCAATTGCATTTGTTATCACTTCGGGAAAATCTTTGTCACGCCAAAAACTATGTTGACTCTAGCAAGAAAAAAGCCCAGTTGTACACTGAACAGCACAGCTCACCAGAGTACAGTCTGTCAAATCAGACTTCTGGGTTTAAAATCTGCTCAGCTACTTCATACCTGTGAAACCTTGAGTGAGTTGATTAACTTTTTTATGTCTCATCTATAAATTAGGAATAAAAATAGTTTGTACCTCATGGAATCATTTGGTGTAAAGCACCACGGTACCTGGTGTACAGTACCTGGTGTAAGTATTCAGTAAATATTAGAATATTATGTAGAGATCTCACATAATGGATGATTACACATGAGCACCATATGACAAAGTCAATGAATATACCAAGGTTTATTTTTCTTGATATCCACATATTTACAAACTGAAAACATAATTACTAATGATTTTAGAACTGTGGGAAAGGGCATTTGTAGATGGTAAGAAGTTGTTTTGGGTTCTGAGGCATGGTATCTAAAACTCAGAGTATATGATCCAATTAAATATTTCCATGAAGAATGCAATACACTGAGTGCATCTGAATTTTTAAAATCTATTCAGAATGGTATTGATAATAAAAACCAAACTCACTGCCATCAAGTCAATTCCGATTCATAGTGACCACCCCCCCCCCCATTGGCTTTTTGAGGTGGGTGAATCTTTATGGAAGTATATTATTCCATCTTCCTTTGCAGGGCAGCTGGTGGATTTGAACTGCCAACCTTCTGGTTAGCAGTCAAATGCTTTAGGCACTGCACCACCAGAGCTCCTTGGTATCAGTAATAGTTGTTGCTCACTGAAGAAGAATGTAGAATCTGCAAAATACCACATAACATGGATGAACTTGAAGGACATTATGCTGAGTGAAGTAAGTCAATCACAGAAGGACAAATACTGTATTCATGATTATAAAAAGTCAAGGAAAGGTTTACATACGGAAGGAAACTTTCTTTGTTGGTTATCGGGTCAGAGGGGAAAGGGAGGAAACACTGCAAAAATGGAAAGAAAAAAAAAAAGGACTCAAAACAGATGAATGGATAAACAAAATGGTATATACACACAGTGGATACTACTCGGCCATAAAGAGGAATGGAGTCCAGATGCCACAGAAGGGTTGTTGCCTTTTACCTGCTATAAGGAACTCTGGGCTTAGTGCCTAAGGCATTTGACTACTAACTAGAAGATTGATGGTTCAAACCCACCAACCGCTCCATGGAAGGAAGATGAGGCAATCTACTTCAATAAAGATTTACCACCTTGGAAATCCAATGGAGGTTGCTGTGAGTTGTAATTGACTTGATGGCAGTGGGTTTGGTTTGGTTATGGTTTTACCTGCTATAAGTAAGGCATACCTAATGCCTGCAGCGTATTTATCTAAATCTTTACAAGAGTGATTTCTGGTTTTGCCTCTGTCCTTATTAATTCTAGATACTTAGGCTGAGGCTAAAGAAATAATCAAGTGATCCCAGTGTAGCTTTAATGTCCAGCACGCCCTGTGGTAGAACATGAGCTTTAAAACACAAATTTGGATTAAAATTCAGGCTCTGCCACTTCTACCCTAAGAAAATCTCAAAATCTTAATGAGCTTCAGTTTCCTCATTTATAAAATGGAAATGTCTACACTGTGAGGATTAAAGGTGATATTTGTAAAGTGCATGGCACTTGGAAGATACCCACTAAATGGTAGCTTTCACCATTACTTGGATACAAAATGGATAAGTGATTCTTTTTTTCACTTAAGGTGTGTAATTTTTTTTTTTACTTTTTATTGTGATTTCGGTGAAAGTTTACAAAGTAAATTGGTTTCCATTCAGTTCACACAGACTTTATTTCATTACATGGATTGTAATCCCCACAATGTAACAGCACTCTTCCCAGTTCTTCCCCTGTGGGAAAAATTTCCCTTTGTCCTTTCCCATCCATTCCTACCTTCTGAGCTTTATCTCTGGGCAAATGTCTTAATGTTTTATAGTTGATTGTTTTAAGAAGTACGCACCTCCCTGGTGTTATTAAACCTCATGTTTTAGGTGCTGTGAAGTCTGTTTCAACTCATAGCAACCCTTTGTACAACAGGACGAAACACTGCTTGGCCCTGTGCAGTCCTCACAATCGTTGCCATGTTTGAGTCCATCATCCCAGTCACGGTATCAGTACATCTCATGTAGGGTCTTCCCCTTTTTCACTGGCCTACTTCACCCAGCATGATATCTGTGGTGCAGTAATTACTTGATATTGCTCTTCTAGCCATGGTCTTTGCAACTCCCACCAGATGAGTAGGTGGAACTACACAAATGTAAGATGCTTATGGCCCACAAAGGCGATTAGGTAGTTTGTTAGTAATGTAAATGAGGCACATGGTGCCCTTGTGGGGGTTGTGTTGTTAGATGCCATCAAGTTGGCTCCAACTCATAGCAACCCTATATACAGCAGGGGTTGGGACCATGGAAATAGGGTATATGACATTCTGCTAAGCTTAAAATGAGCCCTGGAGACAGAAAGGAACAGTAGTGGTGTGGTTAAGGTGTTTGGCTGTTAACCAAAAGGTCAGTGGTTTGAACCCACTAGCCACTCAGCAGAAGGAAAATGAGGCAGTCTGCTTCCGTAAAGATTTACAGCCTTGGAAACCCAATGGGGGTTGCTGTGAGCTGAATTCAGATTGACAGCAGTGAGGGGGTTTTTATTTTTTTTCTTTCTGAGAGGCAGAAAGGGGGTTCTCACTGCCATCAAGAGAGAAGAGCCAGAGGTGGAGTGGAACGCATGCTTGGACCTGAGATCCCTGCACTGGGCCTCCTCGGCAGAGGGACTGCAGAAAGACGACAGCAGAAGAACCGAGAGACCAGCACGAGACTGAACGGGAGGCTTACTGGCCCATGGAGTGAAACTGAGTGCCTTTGGATAGGCTTGCTGGTGGACTGAGGTGCACCTATCAACAGAGCTAAAAAAGTTTTGTAACATTTGCACAACCAGGGCTGAGGCCAGGCGGAGAGGCCAAGGGCCCAAGAGGGGTGTGCCTGAGGGCATGGCAGAGGGGAGGCTGTCCTGATTAAAGAATTGTATCCTGAGCATTCCTGAACCTTTATTGTTGCCTGTAACTTCCTTAATAAACCATTGCAAAGAATTATCAAACCCAGCAGAGTAGTAGCTCCATGGGAGAGATGAATGGTGGCAGAATTGGTAAAAAGGTTGGAGGGTGGTGGCATATCTGACTTCCGACTTACAGGAATCAGCTTTGGGCTGATGCTATTCACCCTTCTGTCTCCCCCTTGTGAAGTAAGAGGAGGTCAGAAGACGTCACCCCATGCTCTTTTTGCAATATCATACTCCAGGGTCTGATCCCTTTTGACAATATGACCAAAGTATGAGAGACGCGCTCTGGCCATTCTCACTTCTAACAAGAATTCTGGCTGTACTTCCTTCAAGACAAATATTCATTCTTCTAACAGTCCAGGTTATATTCAATATTCTTTGTCAACACTACAATTCAAAGGCATCAATTCTGCCATCTTCCTTATTCATTGTCCAGCTCTCAGATGCTTATGAGGCTATTGAAAATACTAAGGCTTGGATCAGACACACCTTAGTCTTCAAAGTGACATCTTTGCTCTTTAACACTTTAAAGAGGTCTTTTGCAGCAGATTTGCCCAATAAAATATGTCATTTGATTTCGTGACTGTTGCCTCCGTAGGTATCGATTGTGGATCCAAGTAAAATGAAATCCTTGACTTCAATCTTTTCTCCATTTATCATGATGTTGGTTATTGGTCCAGTTGTGAGGATTTTTGTTTTCTCTATGTTGATGTGTAATCCAAACTAAAGGCTGTAGTCTTTGATGTTCATCAGTAAGTGCTCCAAGTCAGCTTCACTTTCAGCAAATAACATGTCATCTGCATATTGCAGGTTGTTAATGAGTCTTCCTCCAATCCTGATGCCACATTCTTCATCATAAAGTCCAGCTTCTCAGATTATTTGTTCAGCATACAGATGGGAAAAGCATGATGAAAGGATACAACCTCAACACACACCAGTCCTTATTTTAAACCATTCAGTATCCCCTTGCTCTATTCAAATGACTACCTCTTGGTCTATGTATAGGTTCCTCACGAGCCCAATTAATTGTTCTGGAATTCCCACTCTTTGCAATATAACCATAATTGTTATGATCCATGTCATCCATGTCAAATGCCTTTGCATAGTCAATAAAACACAACCAAGCATCTTTCTGGTATTCTTTGCTTTCAGCCAAGATCCATCTGACATCAGCAATGATATATATCCTTCATTCCATACCCTCTTTTGAATGCAACTTGAATTTCTGGCTGTTCCCTGTCAATACACGGCTGCAATTGTTTTTTAATTATTTGCAGCAAAATTTTACTTGCATTTGATATTAATGATATTGTTTGCTAACTTCCACGTTCAGTTGAATCACCTTTCTTTGAAATGGACACAAATATGGATCTCTTTCAGTTGATTGGCCAGGTAGCTGTCTTCCAGATTTCTTGGCATAAACAAGTGAGCACCTCCAGCCCTGCATCCATTTGTTGAAACATCTCATGGGTATTCCAT